CCCCCCAGCCCTTGGCAGAAAGACAACTCAGGCCAGCCTCAGGCACCCTCTGCTCATTTAGCTCCTACGGGAGCTGCAAGGTATAGAGCAATGGTGTGCTGACCATCCTGTCTCTGCCTTCTTCCAGCACTCTCTCTATTACCCTCCTTTATCAATAGATCTCAAATGTCCCAGGACAGCCCACCCCCACCCTGATCTTTCTTCTGAGCCTAGTCCCATATATCCAGCTTGGTATCTCCTCTGGGATGTCCTACAGGTCCATTGCACTTACCAAAATCAAACCTATCACGTTTCCCCAAATAATCCCTTTCCTTTACCCCCATCTCTGTTCTACTGCTGACCTGGTCACCCATGCCAGACAGCTGGAGGTCATAGCCCGCACCACTACTCATTAGTCCCCAGTCCCATTGGTGCCACCTTACCAACTGTCTTCAGGTTATTCCATTTCTCATTTATCCGTCTGGCCAAGAAATGGCTAGTAAACATCGACTGGATGCCAGTCACCAAGCAGACCAAGGCTCTACAAAGACCTGGTAAGAGCATGGAAGTGGCAGTCACATTTTAAGGTGAAAAGCTTCAGCCGGGGACCTGGGTGGCTCAGCTGGTTAAGTGACTGCCTTTGGCTCAGGTCATGATCCTGGGGTCCTGGGATCTAGTCCCACATCGGGCTCCTCCTGCTCTGTGGGGAGTCTGCTTCTCCCTCTCCTTTCAGCCTAGTATTCCCCATCTTGTTCACGCCCTCTCTGTATCAAATAAATAAATAAATGTAATAAATAAATAAAATCTTTAAAAAGAAAACAAAAGAAAATCTTCAGCCAAAAATATACAGGTGGCTATGGGACTTGGAGGTGGTCAATGGTTAGACATAAGGTAGAATTTCAGCTTCGGTTGTTGGAGTTTCAGCAGAGCTGCCTAGAACTGCCCTTGGTTCCTGAAGGAAGCTGTCAAAAGGCAGCAGAGTGGTTAAGAGCACAGAGCATGGAGCCTAGTTCTGCCGCACACTGGCTGTGTAACTTTGGACAGTCTATTTAACGTCTCAGTTAGTTTCCTCATCTATAAAATGGGTAATAATGGTCCCTGCCTCAGCCTCATGAGGCTATCAGGAGGATGAATGGAGTGATTTCCTGTAAAGTGCTTAGACCAACATTTGGCATGTAGTAAGAGTTGTGTAAGTATTAATTATATTAGTGAAACACAGAGAAGGCCGTGTAGGATAAGGTAAATAGGAAATAGCCAGGGAAGCAAAGGGAAGGAGTAGGCAGAACAGTGGCGTCACCCAGAGAAAACAAGCCCCCACTCCCACAAGGCTCACAATGAACCTATGAGACCAAAGTTCCAGCCCTGAGTACCTTCTAATAAACAATTCAAGAGGCCACACCATGACTCATGACCAGGGGCACAATGCTCAAAAACCCAGAAGGTCTGAATGGGCAGGGCGTTTCTCTATAGCAACATCTCGATGTGATCCTGTTTGTCTTTTTTTCGCCCTGCACATGCATAAGGCTCTAGGCTTGCACAGGCTCAAGTGGGAGGTGTGTACACTGCATTCATATGCACATGTCTGCGTAGGCCATTAAGATCTGGGAAAGTGGGGCCTGACCAGAGTGGTACAATAAGAAGTGGCCCTTGGTCCTCCTGTTCTCTGGGTGGAATCAAATTTCAGGACATTTTCTTTGCTCTATGATCAGTGCCAAATAAAAACATGCACTTGTTCCAAGTACTGGAGCTTGATTTTGGAGAAACTCTCCCTGTTGATTTAAATGAGACAAGAATCTCCATCTCTTTGTTAAAATAAGAAATCTAAACAAGCCATAGTCTTTTTTTTTTAAGATTTTATTTATTTATTTGACACAGAGAGATCACAAGCAGGCAGAGAGGCAGACAGAGAGAGAGGGGAGGAAGCAGGCTCCCCACTGAGCAGGAATCCAGGACCCTGGGATCATGACCTGAGCCGAGGGCAGAGGCCTCAACCCACTGAGCCACCCAGGCACCCCAGCCATAGTCTTTTAGAAATTTTCATCCTGCATGAGAGAGAAGAGGAAAGTGCTAGCGGCCCCTTCTGGCTGACAGTCACCTTACCCATACTTATGGAGTGTGGGAAAACGGATCTATTTACTGGACAGGAGCTCAGACAGCCTGTCATCATATAGATTTCTCTATGAGGGTGGATCCAGTTTTTAAACCTTTAGCTGAAAAGATCTCTGTGTTCAGATGATAGTCCAGAGAACAAATTTATGTTATTGGAAGAAGGAAGCTGTTTAACTGTTACAAACATTCACACTCATCCCAGTATTGTGGAAGAAAGAGTAGTTCTAACGCATGTCCTCAGCTCAGCATCTTATCACAGCAGAATCTGTAAGCGAAGTCTATGAACAGGAAGAACACTGTCCCCTGGGACTGCAGCGGCAGTGGCCACATCCTTTATAGAGCCCTGAGATCTTCTTCTTAATTATGAAGAAGCCATGTAGTAAGCCTGCACCTAGCAATTCATTAATCCACATTGTAAGCAAAAGGCGAGTCTGGTAGAGCTCAATTTCAGTGGCAGAAATGGAGGGAGATACGAATGGAATCTTATTTAATAGCAGTGATTAGGGTACATGCAGCCTTTTCTACCCACCAAAGGTGAATTCTATTCAAGCAATTTGGCTGATTGGCTTTCATGTACATTTACTTATTCCATGGTCCCAGTAAGTCACCACCCCCACTCCTGCACCTCCGATTTTCCAGGCACCTTCAGGGTAGAGCCCCCATATCCTCCTCCCTCTCAGCCCAGGGCCCTCTTCTGTCCTCCCCATCCTAATGATAGCTGCTCTCCCTCTGTCCCTCCATACCCCTGCTCCACAATGGCCTGCCTTTCTCTCCAGCACCATGTAGCCCCTCCTTGGGCCCCATCCTTGATCAGTGCCCCTCCTTGGCCCCACCGCATGGCAGCACTTTGCCCAGTGGTTGTATTATGTTCTCAGATGGGGGTTGAAGATGGAACTAGGCTTCCCTCTTCCCACACACTGGCCCCTCCCCTGATCACTGTTTTCCCTAACCCCACCCCACCCCACCTTGGTGCCCTCAGAGGAACTTCCTGAAGTGCTCCAAGGACAACCCACTCTTTGCTGACATTGACTGCGAGGTCTTCGAGTCACGCTTTCCCACAACCATGGCCTTGTCTGTGCTGGTGACCATTGAAATGTGCAACGCCCTCAACAGGTGGGCTAGGCAGAGGGGCCTGGAGCTGGGGCTGAGAGAGGGGGAGTGAGGCCTAAGTTGGGGGGCTGAGGGTCAGTCAGGGCCCAGGTCTGAGGATCGGGATTAGGGCCTAAGTGTCAGAGGGTCCCAGAGTGGCTTTTGAGAGTAAGTGGGGCCAGAATTGAGATCTAGGGAACAAAGAGGGCCATGATTGGGGCCTGAATAAATAGAGGGGCCAAGATTGGGTCTGAGGGACAGAGAAAGGGCATCCAAGCCCTGGGACAGGCCACTGGGGGCTGAGCAAATAACTGTGACCCACCCCTTCTGGCTACACCGGCCTCCCAGAAGTGCTCCAGCCTATAGGCCCAATTAGGGAAATGCTGAAGCCCAGGCCGCCCCCACCCCTCTACATGGGTGGATGGCTGCCCACAGCAGGGCATGCTCACATCTGGGCCTGCTGTGAGCACCCTGTGCCCTTGGCAGTGTCTCAGAGAACCAGTCGTTGCTGCGGATGCCGCCCTGGCTGAACCCTTGGCTGCTGGCCGCTGTGGCCATGTCCATGGCCCTGCACTTCCTCATCCTACTGGTGCCACCCCTGCCTGTGAGTTTCCACCCTGCCCCAATCCTCTTCTGTGACAGGGTCCAAACCCTCCTGCAACAGCCTGGCCCTGGGTTGGTCAGGGCCCTCTCTGGGCCCTTTTGCATGGAGGACTGGGAGTGGAGAGATCTTAAGGTGCTTGGTACAGACAGCTTGTGTCTTGGGGACCCTCAGATTTGGAGAACTGAAGAGGCAGGGATAAGACCTCTTGCTATGGGGGACTTTCCCGAGGCCATGGTGGGAGGAGCCTATGTTCCTCCCCAGTGCAGAATCTCACCCACTTATCAGACAGGACCAGGAAGATTTGGTAATTGGGTGAGAGCGGGGGGAGGGCAGGCACTTCTGGTAGAGGAACCAGCGTAGACAAAGACCTGGAGGTGGGACCTCAATGAGCATCTTGAACTTGCTCATGAGGAGTCCACTGTAGCCCAAGTGTATGAAGCAGATAGATTGTGGGGGCGTACCTTTACCCACACCTCCCCCCGCCGCAGCTTATTTTTCAGGTGACCCCACTGAGTGGGCGCCAGTGGGTGGTGGTGCTCCAGATATCTCTGCCTGTCATCCTGCTTGATGAAGCCCTCAAGTACCTGTCCCGGAACCACATGGATGGTGAGCGGGAAGCTGCAGACCCTCCCCGCCCTGTTTGCCTCCAGCCTGCTTCCCGGCCCCTCCCTGCCTGCTTCCCCTCCCAGGCTGCAGCCTCCCTGTCTGTCCAGGAAGAGAAGTATTCTTGGATCAATAAGTGGAGGACAAGGAGGGGCTCTGCTCTGGTGACTAGGGCCTGTGGTATCAGCAGGGTCTTATGCTATAGGGGCCAAGAGCACTGCTCAGAGCCCTGCTCCCTCCTTCTCCTCACTCGCCACCAACCCTGCATGGCCAGGCCCCCTGTACCCTCCTTTCGGCCTTGGCCTCTAGCTCCTCTGAACCCAGCCTGTCTTTAGGCAGGCATTCTCAGGACAGTCTCCCGGGCATGGAGTGGGCAGCTACTGACCACCTCTGGGACCCCAGACCACACTGGATTGGCCTCTTTGGTGTCACCTCATAGGAGGGTAGAAGAGGGGGTTCTCTGTTTCTGAGCTCACAGCTCTGGGTCTGCCTTAATCTGGTACTAGAGGGAAAATGGCAGAGTCAGGGTTGGGGGCAGCGTCGCGGGAGAGGCTGGGGACCCCTGCTGGCAGAGGAGCCTCTGAGAGTGGGTGATTCTGAACCTCCCGAGGGTGAGGGAGCCAGGATCTTCTCACTGTCAGAGCTGCTTAGAGTGAGAAGCAGGGGCAAAAACAAAAAAACAAAAAAACAAACAAACAAAAAAAAAACTCCCTGTTCCTGGGAATGTGAGCCAAGGCAGTAGCCCCCAGGCCAGGCCGCTGCGGAGGGTCTGGATTAGGCCCAGCAATGGCCAAGGTCTGCCCTGGAGCAGCTGGGTCCTTGAGGGCCATCTCTGGCAGGAATGTGTCCCAGCTTCGGGAGGGAGCCTGAGTTGGAGGGTCTATAAATAGATCACGTGCTTGTCATTCCATAGGGGCCAGGGCAATCAATCCGCTCCTATCTCCCACGCTGGCCAGTGCTCCTGGGTGCTGCAAACATTTTATCTTATTAAGGAGGCCAAAACAAGTCAGCCTCCTCTCTCTGGGGAAGCTGGCCCACCACAGGTCTGTCCATAGCAGACACGCACAGAGGGGCTCACCTGAGGGTAGAAGTAGGTACTCCGCCAATGCAAGACCTTGTTAGAGTACATGGGTAAGGAAGCAGGAAGCAAGGCAAGGCATTTTGCCCCCTGTATGGTTCTTTCTGACCCACTCAGTGTGGATACTCCTAGGGAGCTGAAGAAGGTGAAATAGGTCGATCACCTAAAACTCCGTCCTCGGCAGCCCAGGGCCTCCACATTTCTGGCTGAAGCACAGATGTGGTCTACCAGGAAATCCACCCACCAACCTTGATCACACTAACTCACCTGAGAAGTCAAGCTTCATTGGCAGCTCAGGCAGCTTCTCTGTCTTCCTTGAGAGCTTTCCCTAGCAGCCACAACTGCCAAGGAGTTCAGCACATTTTCTTAAGAAAACTTAGAAAATTTCTTTGCCAATGGAGAAGAGCCTGTGTCTCGGGCACTGTTCAGTCCCCGCTGCTGGATGGTGGAGGATTTGGGAGGGGGCTCCTAACAGGTTGGGGCAGGTTGGAAGGAGCAATCCCTGCTGGGCCAAGTGTTGGAGGTGATTTCTAGAAGAGACAAGTCTGAGCAGAGGTTTGAAAGGGGAGGATGGAACTTGGTGGAGAAAGAGCTAAGCAGCATGGTTTGGCATCTCTAGTGGGGCTGGGTGCTCAGAGTGCAAGGTAGAGAAGTAAGGCTAGAGTGTGAAAAGGGCCTTGAATGCCAGGTTAAGGACTCTGGACATTATCTTCAAGGCAGTGAGAGCCACAGAAGCGTGGAAGCATGGAAGGGACTGGGATAACATGGAGGACACATGGGAAGGGCACGGCAGGGAGGCTGATGGGTTGTGTTGAGCTGATCTGAGGGCAGACACTGAGTCCAGCCCAGAGCGAGCTGGTTCTGGGCAACACCTCCACCTCCACCATGAACCTGAGATGTTGACTATGGTCCTGGTGAGGCTTGGCTTGAAAGGGTAGTGCCCTGCTCTAGGGAGTGGCTGTGGGGCCCACAGGAAAGACTCAGGCTGGGCATGTGTGGCCACATCTGAGAAGTGGAGTGGTGTGTGCCTGCTGTAAGCCAAACAGCTTTGCCCTGTGTGGCTGCAGTCCCTCGGGCCTCCTAAAGCCGGATGGGGCGGGGGTGAGAGAGGGGACCCTGTTGCATTCCCAAGCCAGCCTGGTGGCCTTTTAGGGAAGTTTTGCTGAGGCTTGATGCTTGCAGCTTCCCTCTGATTTATGAGGGATGTGTCCTGGGGAGAATTGCAGATGCCCAGTCAGCTCCAGGGGGTAGGTGAGGGGTGGGGGTCTCCTTGCCCCATTTCTTGGCTGTACCCAGTTGTGGCTGAGCAGCTATGAAGCAGAAGCCAGTGGGCCAGACTGAAGGGAGAGGAGGCCTGGAGAAACTAAGTGGGGACAGATCTGGGAGAGTCCAGGATACGAGGTGGGCTTGCATTTTATTCTGAAGACAATAGAGAACCACCAAAGGGGATGACGGCTTGGATTTGTAGTGTGATGCCAGGGAGTGTGACGGTGAGGTAAGAGGGGGCTAAGGGCAGGGCTGAGAGGACTTGAAGCCTGGGGGCAGCAGGACAAAGAGATGAACTCAAGAGGTGTAGGTAGAATCAGCAGGCCTGAGTGATGAGGTGAATGAAGAATTGATATCACCAGATTCTGGATCTCATCCTACTGGGTAGTTAACCTCCCAAACTAAAAATCCAGAGGAAAATATGTCCTGGGCTGGGCTGGAGTTGTTGATAGAACATGTGGAATGGAAGAGGCCCAGTGGACTTCAGAGAAATGTGTCTGGGCAGCATCTGGATATGTGGGGCACATCAGGAGACACAGTGGAACTGGGGATCCCCTGATGAATGCTATGGGAGAAAGCAGCTGTCCCAGGAGAGATGGAGGATGGAAGGAGCTAGAAGGAACCAGTGTGGATACGCACTGTCACACATACATCTCTCAGTGTACTCTTGGGTTTTTCTTCCAGAAGAAAAGGACCAGAAGTGAATTCTGGGAACAGTGGACTCTCCAGTGTGTACCTCAGACTGATGATGCCCAGGCCTTCCCCTCTGCTCTCCACACTGCCATCACGCTCATCGCTTGCTCACCGGGCCCTGCCAAGAGTCTCTGTTCCTCCTTCCATACACACGGGGGCTCTGTAATTCATGTCTTTGGGACTCTCCTGGGAAGTTCACCTATGAAGCTCTAGCCCAGGAGCTACAGCCTCGGTGGGGGGTTGGGGGGGGATCTGCCCAGAAGCCAGAGCTGACAGTCAATCCAGACATGCAGAGCCCTCTACCCCCAAATCCATGAGAACACTCTGGAGCAGGCACACTCTTGCTTGGAGGCTGGGCATTTACTTGGTGACTGGTGCCTCTACACTGATGGAGGACTCCCAGAGTTCTTGCCAGCTCTGACCTCTTGCTTAGTGACTGGTCTGGGGCCTGGTCAGTAAGGGAGTGAAGTGGGGGAAACATCTGGGCCCAGCTGTGCACAGCAAGGGCAGACAACCCCCCTCCACTCTGTTTCCACAAACAGAGGGCTCATGAGGGCTTGAGCCTCTTACTGTTTATATGTACAGGGGATTAAAGGGTCAGAGAGAGGGACATGGTAGTAGGGGAAGGGGGCTGGGCAAGGATCCCCTTCCCAGGAGACAGCTGGCTTGCCTGCCTTGCTCTGGGCACTCCCAGACTCAGAGTTCCTGTCCTAAGCAAATGAGACATGCCAAGTCTCTCTCGGTGCTGCCCAGTCTGCCAAGCAGAGGACGGATTTGCCCTTCATGTCCCTGGTGCCTAAGAACGCAGACATCCTTAGGTACCTAATCACTGCGCCCTTTTAGCCCAGCCCTGTGTGCACCATCCCACAGTCTGCATGGCTGGGTGGTTCTGAGTGCCCTAGACTCTTGGCCTCACTCTTTGCCCCCAACCCTACATCCCCATGTGCTGAAAGGATGTCAATAAGAATGGCTATTTCCCAAGAGCACTTCCTTTCCCTCCCTCCTTGGTGGAGGAATGCCTGTCAGATCATGTCAAATGATGGGAAAAGTGTTTGACGGACCCAAATGTTCTTTTAAGTCAGCTTTTGCCCCTTTGGCAAAAATTAGGCAAATGGGCTCCAGGTACCGTGGCCTCTTCTTCTCCTCCCTCCCCTCTGCCCTCAAAGTCTCCAGAGAGGCCGTAAGAGATGCAGGGTTGGGCAAGGCTCCCCTGGGAAGCAGCCCACAGAGATTCTCTGTTTCTTTCCTGCTGGAAGGAAGGCAGTCTTTGAAGTGGGGGAGGATGGCAGGGCTCTGTACCCATCTGTTGACACGCAGCCAGTAGAGAAATAAAGGTTGAGTGCCTGGGGCAACAGAGGACCGTCACCTTCTGTTTTCCTAGAGAGTGGTTCCACCATCCGCCTGTGTGTCCACCTGGGTTCCCACAACCCACACCACTCACATCAGGAAACTGGAGCCAAGGTCTGGGGTTCCCACATTGCCAGCCAGGGATTGCTGTCTTCTTCTGAGACAAGACCCAGGAGATGCTCTGATTTCCTGACCCACACTCAAAGGGCAGATGCACGACTCTGCTCACAGAGACAGCACTTGATAGTTTGTGTATGTGTTCAAAGCCCTTTGCACATGTTAAGATTCAAATGTCGTCACTGGGGAAACAGGCTGGGAGGGGGTCATGATGGCCTGGGGCAGGGCTAGGCCTAGAGCCAAAGTATCAGGGGCCTCTAGCCCTGACCATTCCCTGGGTCCTACATCTCTCCCTGAGGCTTCTCTCTCTGTTTATTTGCCCTCTTTGAACCCCAGGATGCCATCGACTTCTTGCCTTCCTAGGCCCAGCTCAAGAACACCTCCCCAAGGCTTCCCTCAACTCACATTGTCCAGAGACCTTGGAGAGGTTGCTTGGTGTTAATTCCTGACTCACCCAGGCGGCCCTACTCTCTAGGAGCAGGGGCTCTGTGGCAGGAATAGCTGTGTGTCCCTGTCTCCTTCCTCTCCTTCCTCTGGAGGGTAGATTCACTCATGAAGTTTCTGTATCTAATCTTCTGCCCAGCTGCCCTGCAAAGGGAAATCAGGCCCTGCCCACAGAGCCAGAGGCAGGACTGTCTATGTGGTTTGTGGGGCTCAGTACAAAATGAAAATGTGGATCCCTTGTTTAGCAATTAAGAGTTTCCTAGCAGCGACAGCAGAGTATGAAAACAAAATGCAGGGCCTTTCTGGGCACGGGGTTCTGTGCAGCTGCATAGGTGCTATGGCTGGAAGAGACAAAACCCACCCTCAGGAGCTCCTGGGTTTTATTTCGGGGAAGGGCAACATTTGGTGCATAGTTCACAGTGGGACCCAAGGATGGGCAGAAGGCTTCTTCCTTCTGCACAGTCCATCCGTTAGGCCTCTCAGATCCCAAAACCATTCCATACGCCTCATCTCCCTGGGCACCCAAGTGACTCCTTGAGACGGGCCAGGCAGGGGTTAGGGCCCCATCTACAGATGAAGACCCCAAAGCTCTCTGAAAGCCTGACTGTCTAGCTGGCTCCATCACGGCAGACAGACAGAGCACGGAGCTGAGATGGGCTTGGAGGGTCGGCTAGGAGACAGGCCAGCTTTGCTACTCGCATCAGCTGCTGGAGCTCATGACCAGCCTGCACAAGTGCAGCTCTGCCAGCCCACAGCATGGAGCCTGACAGGTCAAGGTTGAGCAGCCAAGGTAAACAGAGGTTTCCTACCTCACGGCCACTCACCCAAGAGGGAATTCCAGGGCAAGCCCTGGCACACTTCTCACTGGCTTAGGGAGGGCAGCTGCCAAAATGCCCAAGGCTTCACTCTGCCCCCTCCATTGGCCCATGTTGTCTTATTTCCCATGCCTCCCATACTGTACCCCACAGAGGGGTAGGAGAGACTCTGTTGGGGCTTCACTGAGAGGAATGGAAGGGCAAAATTAGGAAATGAAGACCTAATCCCCACACAAAGAGCTGAACCCTGGCAGTTTTACTCATCATAGCCCCAAACCGGAAACAACCAAAATAACCATCAACAGGAGATGGACAAGCTGTGGTATGCCCACACAACAGAATACTGCTCAGCAATCAAAAGGAGCAGACTGCAGCTATATGCCACAGCGTGGATGAAGCTTAACCCCTTGTGCTGAGTGAAAGAAGCTCGTACTGTGCAATTCCACCTCTGTGAATTTCTAGAAAAGGCAAAGCAAATCTGTAGTGACAAAACAGACCAGTGATTGCCTGGGTCGGGGAGGGATTGGCAGCGAAAGAGCAGGTGGGAACATTCTAGGGTGACAGATGATGATGCCAGGGGTTATATGCATTTGTCAAAACTCATTAAACTGTGTGCCTACAATGGGTACATTTTACTGTACATCAATTATACCTCAATGCAGCTTGATTTAGAAGAAAGGAAAGAGGTAGGAGCCAGAAGAGGGGGGTGGGCGTGTGGCTGTCATGTGGGTTAGAGGTTTCAGCAACCTCAGGAGGCAAGGAGACAAGCCTCCCAAGGGGTGTTCAGTGTTTGAGGGGCAAGGAGCTAGATGAGCCCAAGGAGTCCCCACATTCCAGGGACAGGAAGAGGATGGGGACCAAGAGGAAATGTCCCAAAAAGATGGAGGAGAACCAGAGGGTTGTGATGGCTCAGATGCTGGGGAGAAGGAGCTCATAGCTGGGGTTGGGGGATGGTTAGAAAAGGCCAGAGCAGCTGTGCAAGGTCTAGGCAAGAGGAGAAACAAAGCACGAGGACCCCTGCTGCAGCTTCCCTATAGATCCCCATTCCCACAACCTCCCTTTGACAGTCTCTGTTAGGCTGACCCAGGGCCCTACTCTAGCTCACATCTAAGGGGCTGAGTGGCACTGGGTGAGCCCTGGGACACTGACAGGCCCAGCGTGGGGAATTGGACTGAAGTCTGCAAGCAGAGGTGTCATCCCCGCAACCTTGGGATGCCAAATGGCTAAGGAGACCCACTGGAGTCTGTGCCAACCCCCTTGAGGGCCTGGGCTGGCCTCCAGGGTGGACACAGGCCCCCTCCACACTCCACAGAACTACTAAATTTAGCCAGGCAGAGGAGGCTATCCTGGGTCTGAGGGCTTGGCAGCATTGCCTTGTCTCCCTACAAGGTCTGGCCCACTACCGGAGCTGGCCACTCAGCCTTTGGGCTTATAAGGTAGGTCTAGCAGCTCTCAAGTGCTGGAGTCTAGGGGTGGGCTCTTGGCCAAGCTCTCAGACTTTGGGGAGCCTCCTTTCCAGCCACAAGCAGACATGGGAGCTATTTGGGCAAGCCACTCAATTTCTAGAGCCTCAGTTTCCCTATCTGTAAAATGGGAGTTCCAGTACCTACTTCATGGGAGCTGTTTTAAAAAAGAAATCTGCTGAGTATGAAAGTACTGTGTCCCCTGTAAACTCTGACCCCTGGCCTGCTCATCTTTGTACCACCCCCTGACAATGCCTAGAATAATCACAGATATCTGTTCTTGGGGATGCCAGAGTTGGGGCAAGGAGGGAAAGCATAGGCCTGGATGGAAAAGTGTATTTTAGAACCAGTGAAAGAGGTATTGGTCCCAGCAGCTGCCTGTTGTGCTCTGGCAAAGTTATTAGCAAAAAAAGAGATTTATAATTGGGAAGATGAATATAATTGCTCTTATTTCTTTTTATTTTGGGCATGCTTTGGATATGACAATCCCAAATGAGATAGTCCCCCATGATAGTCTGTTTGCTAACTGTCAAGGTCAGAACTGAGGCTCTAACAGGAGCACAGGAGCTCACACAGGTGTGTGCTCCAGGCAAGGGTGTCTGAGTATCTAAGGAGACCCATCGGAGCCTTGTGCCGAACTGCTTGAGGACCCGGGCTGGCCTTCAGGATGGGCATAGGCCCCTCTGTGCTCCAGTGGTTGCTAAATTTAGCCAGGCAAAGGAAGCCATCTTTCCATTAGTCCATCTGTCAGAAGCCTGGATCCTTGGAAGTGGGGAGAGGGGGTGAAGGAAGAGGTGGATGAGATCATGGTGATGATGTGAAAAGGGCAGGTGCAGATTGGAGAATGACTGTCTGACTTCCTTTCCTCTCCTTCCTCCCCTCTGCCCACCTCATCTAGTGCCTGTTACCCTCCTGAATGTCCAGGAATCATGGGTGGAGGGGGACACAGAGACAGCTCCTGTACCGCATCAGCACCTACCCCCATGCTTGATTGCAAGCAATTCACGTCCTGGGACCTGCTATTCCAAGAGCCATGGGATCACCTGGAAAGGGAGTAGGCCGTTTTGTCTGGGATCAAGACCAGGCCAAGATGACATTACACCCACAGGCCTGGCTCCTAGCATCTCTGGACTTTTTCCTTAGAAAGCCCAGGATATGGTTCTGACCTGCCCCTCCTGAAGGTAATGTTGGACAGACAGTTGGGCCTGATTGATGAGGCTGATCTGTTTGAGAGGGGAGATTGGTCTAGGGTGCTGGAAGGGGCCATGGGCTTGCCCTCTGTGGAGGCCCTTGCTGCCAGGAAAGCAGCTCTACTCAGACAGGCGGCTGGGATTTCCAGCCCTGAAGCCTGGCTCCCTGCCTAGAGCAATTTCCCAGTTAAAGGCTTGCCAGGAAGAAGATTCATAGTGAGGCACCTTGGACTGCAGGGGAGTTCCCCACACCCGCAGGGTACACCCAGCCTCCATCTCCCATCTCCAGAGGAAGCCCCAAGAACACCTGGCAGGGTTGATGGCCAATGAGAGAGGCCTTCCTGCTTCAAGTTGAGGCCTCTAGTACTGCTTAGGGTGAGTTTGGGCGATTCATTTCTCCTCTCTGAGTTCATTTCTTCATCTGCAAAATAAGGCATTGGGTCAGGGGAGGCCTCCAGCTCTAGGGCTCCAAAAGCAAACGTAATACCTCTGTCCCGCCCCCAGTCCCCTGGGGCCCTTGCATTCATGCCCTGGGCTGTGGTTGAAGACAGGGTCTGCAGAGGGTCTGTACCTTAAGATCAATAATAGCCTCAGGATTTTGTCCTCAGTGTTGTTGGGACCCATCCCCTTGGGGCCTCTACCTATGAGGGTAATCCCATTATCATCCCCATTTCACAGATGAGGATGCAGGCTCAGACTGGTGAGGCAAGTTACCCAAGACCTTGCAGGCAGCTAGTAGCAGAGCCAAGGATATTAACTGAGGCTGTCTGATGTCAATGTCAGGCTTTCCCGCTTTTGTCTCGGGAGCCCAGTGGCAATATGTGGCCCCTGAATCTTCTAGGCACTTGCCTCCTTCTGCTTGTTTTTGGGAGGTGGAGATGTGGCTGGGACAGAACAAATGATGGGAGAGAAGAGAGGAGCTATAGAGATGCCAGCCAATGCTAAGGTTGACTGGGCAAAGGCCAGGCTTGGACTCAGAGGGACAGGTGGATGGAAGCTGGGCTATAAGGACAGAGGTGGGGGTCCTGCTGCAGGCACTGGAAGTATCAGACAGCTGGTACTTCCAGAAATGGCCCTGCTTCCTCTTCTGCTCTCCTGGCCACAAACCCCACAGAGACTGAGCTCCCCACCGTGGGGGCACAGGTAGAATGGGGAGGATGTTTGGTTATGGGTCCCTGGTTTGGGGAAGGCTTCAGCCTGAGCCCACTCCACCCAAGTCCTGGCCTTGTTCTGTTCCCCCAGGTTCATGGGGGGCTGACAGCTTTATCTTCGCCTTGTGACGGGTGGCCCGTGGTTTCCTGCCAACAGCTCCTCTTTCCGGAGGCTCAGCAGGGCCCAGGCGGAGCCAGAAGGAGCTGTGGGGCTGGGCTTGGGTGGCCCCACCAGCCCCGCCCCCATCTATCTTTGGGAATTTATTTGTCCACAGACGCTGCTGGCCCGCAGTCCATTGCCTGCCAGGGGCCAAGAGCTGCTCTGATCACCCAAGGACTCTATTTTTCAACCCGAGTGCCTTCAACTGACCCCTGACTCCTGACCTCTGGCCCCAGCTGCCCTGTCCTGCCCTACCTTTCCTAAGTGGCCAGGAAGCCCCTGGGTTTTCACTGTAGACGTGGGCATTGACACCCGGCTCACCTCAAGAGCAAAGGCTGTGCAAAGGACTCACTTCTCAGGCCCCAGCCTGGCCCACCATGGCACAGCGGCTCCAGGATGAACTGGCTGCTTTTTTCTTTGAGTATGACACTCCCCGAATGGTGCTCGTGCGCAACAAGAAGGTGGGCGTCGTCTTCCGCCTGATCCAGCTCGTGGTTCTGGTCTACGTTGTTGGGTGAGTCTGGGCCCCCTACCTGCCACCCTTCTTGTACCAGCTTCCAACCTGGGCCTCTCCTCCAGGCTCTGGGAGGCCCCCATGACCCCAAGGAGCTCCTCTTTCTCTTCCTTGGTTGTCATCCTCCCTAACAGACTGTAGTGTTACTCAGAAGGAATGAAAGCCTGCTAACTCACTGTCAAGATGGGGACAGTTCAGCAAAGAGGGGAAGTCCTGCCCTGGGTCATATGGTGAACAAGAGGCAAAGCCGTTGGGCCCTAAGGAACTGACTCACTATTAACGGTCTCTCAAGTGGTGAGTGGTGCCGGAGGCCAGGGCTCTAGCAAACCACAACCAGAGTCCTACTTCTGACCTCCTTGCCATGCCAGGCAGAGACACACCCCATTTTAAAAGCCACACACCATTTTATAGGACAGGCCCTGTTCCCACCTGCCCTGCCTAAATTAGAGGCATCCTGAGATACTTGAAACCCCCAGAGTAAAGAAACTTCCAAATTCAGAACTCTGGCACCTTAATGGTGGCCTGTCAGGCAGGGATTGGAGGTCAGTTCTGGTCCCAGGGATGACCGCTCCTTTCTAAGCATCTTGAGACCTGTCCCGTTGTCCCAGGAGAGCAGAGGCAGAAGTAAGGTGGTCCTCCCCTGCAGTCTTGCCATCCTGGGAGCCAGGACAGGCCTGACCATGGCTTACACATACGTGTGCTTCCGTGAGCACACATGTGCATGGTGGTGTGTGTATGTATGTGTGTCATACCTGGAGCTCTGTGTGGATGCGCGTGTTCTGTGTCTGGGGCACATGCCTACGGGGTGGCTGCTGGGTGTTTCCCTGTGTCTGAGTACCCACATGTGTATGTCATGTGGCTAAGGTGACTGGGCACCTGATGTGGGTGCCCCGGCTTTGGGGGGGCATCATTCTACTCAGGGTGATACAGCAGAGGGTTCTTGGAGCTCCCAGGGCCAATGAGGGAGTTTCAGCTCCTGCTGAGGGGGTTTGGGGATACCCGGCAGAATCACTGTGCTGTGGGATTCTGAGGGCCCTGCCCCTCTTCTGTCCATGTCCCCATTTTTGCTGTGGGACTAGAGCCCAGCGTGGGCTGACTAGAAGGCCAGACAGTGACCATATCATTCTGGTCCCTCCAGGGCCTCTGATATCCAAAACATCTCTCCCTCTACCCTGTCTGGCCCCCAAGGCCTCGGAGCTGCTCAGGTGGAGTCCAAGCCAGGAGCTAACCCTGTACCACTTTTTGGCCTCTGCTTCCCTCCTGTTCACAGACCAATTTGACATCTGTAATGCCATTTGAGCTTGTGAGGAAAACTGAGGACCAGAAAGGAGTAGTGGTCACATAGCAAGTCCCAGCTAGAACTGAGGCCTCTTGACCCCCCAGTCCTCAGCACTGCCTTCTCCTTTCCCACCTCACTAGGGCTCTGAGAACGTTGTAATGGGACACTGATGCTCTGATACCAAGCACAGGATGGGCCTAAAAGCTCAGCATTATCTACATTCCTGATCTTCCAGGGAAAAGAGAGCTTGCCAGCCCAGGCCTAGCCCATGCTTCAACAGAAGAGGCTGGAGAATATTGTCCTCACTGTGGCCCTATTGCCCCTTATTTCTGCTTTAAGTCAGCAGTAGGAGCAGTGCCAGGGCCCTCTTGTGCGTTGGTGACAGACTGTGAGAGGGAAAGTGACAGTCCTCCCACACCACTCCCCATTGTACCATATCCCTCAAGCCAACATCCAGTCCTGAACACATACCTCCAGTAACAGAGACCTGCTTACCTCCCTCCTTGCTTTCCTCCCCCCAAGGATAGTCTACTCGGTTTCCACATGGATGTGGCCTCCTCAGTGTTGGTGAGTCTCAGAGACACTGGGTGATTTAGTCTGGATCTCACAACCAGAAAGAGGCTGAACCAGATTTGAATCCAGCTGCATGGCTCCAAATTTGGCCTTCATAGCCTGGAAAGGAAACATCCTGGGAGTGGGGCATTGACATGCCCAAGTCATACAGTGGAGAGCGGAAGGCAGGGTCCTCCACAACACCCACCCCTCACAACCCCACCCTCAAGCCCAGACTTTCTATTCTGACTACAACTCTTGCTGTCTCTAGCACCCTTGTCTGGCCTCTGCCCGCTGCTTTGCTGACTGCTCAGTTGCAGACAGAAACCGGCCTGGACTTGGTCTCACCATCCCAAGTTTTAGTTTCCCAACTGTTCCATGGACCAAGGTTTGGGGGGAACCCTCTAAAGATGCTGCACACAGGCTTGTTTCTGAGGAGGGATGCCTTTCCTTAATTAGCCCTCTTCCCAAGGCCCCTGTCTGTCTGAATGTCTGGTCCTGTGGGTGCTGCAGGGTACAAAGGCGAGAATGGGAGAAGAGCCAGACTCCCGCATTCCAGAGACAGAGGCACAAACAAGATGGAGGGTGGGCAGACACAAAGACAGAACCAGACAGAGGGACAGACACTGACACACAACCACTCAGATGAAGAGAGAGGTCCTGAGACTGAGAGATGGCCAATTACTAAGAGGCAGAGAGGTTGATGTTGAGAACCCAAGCAGACACTGAGAAGGCAAACTGAAGCTGTGTTCTCTATCAGTCACACTCTTCTGGAGAGTCCATGGCAAATGGAGGGAGCAAGTGAGCCTTGAGGCCCTGGTGGGCTGAGCTAAGAGCACACTCTTTTTGTCTCAAATTGGTTAATTTGCAGTCAGAACTGTCTCCTGGGAGGTGATGAGCTCTCTGTAACTCTGTATAGAGGCAGTATACATGGGCTGTCATCCATGACCTAACAGGCCCAAACAAGGAGTGTACTGGGATATATCCCTGCCTGGAGGGCTCTGGTTTGGGGAGGACAGAGGTCTGGCTGCGGTGCACAGGGGGTCCCAATGGGATTTGTGAATGCTACTTGGTAAATGGAGCCTGGAAACCTTTCTGGAAGAGAAAACAGAGTGGCGGAACCAGCCTTGAGCAAAAAAGCCTGGGGGCTATAAGCCAGGCAAGCCTGCTCTTGGCTTTCTCTTTGCCACTACCCCCTCCTCCCTCATCTACCTCCACACAGAGCTCTTGAGTTTGCATGCTTCTGAAATTTTCAAATGGGTCCCTCAGCATACCAATCAGGAATAAGGATAGATACAAATTATTGATTGGAAAAATACATCCAGGGACATTTCTACAGCATCTTCTCTGTGCCTATTGCTGTGCTGGGATCCATGCAACAGAGGTGGGGTACAGGGTGACCAAAGGAAAAGTAAGGAGTGGAGGATGAGTTATCCAGTATTCCTTTGGTTCCTAGAGAAGAGTGGGGCTATCGAGTGGTTTATGCAACTGAAAAAAAAAAAAATCAGTAAAGGCTTCAGGCCTGGCCGGATCCTCCATGCTGAGGGCACAGGAAGAGCAAGTTCTGTAGGGAGATGGGGAATTCAGGTGGGTCCCATTTGGGTTCTCCAAAGAAGCTAGCCAGGATTTTCTCTTCTTCCCAGCTCTACTATCTTCTGGACTTCATTCTTAGGCAGTCTCTTTGTCCTCATAGTGACAAAATGACCACCAGCATCTGCAACCTGACATCTCACCAGCTTAGCCATCTCTAGGGCATAAAACTATCTTTTTTTCCAGAGTTCCAGCAAAAGTCCCAGATCTAATTCTTACTGGCAGGGATCAGACCAAATGCCTACTACAAAACCAATTGTTATGGCCAAGGAAATGAAAAACCCTTGTTGGTAGGTAGAGTCTCGTCATGTGTCTACCTGGTCCAGGTACTCCTGCTGGAAATCCGAGAGTGATCAAAGGCTCTGGGGCAGGAAAAGAACAGTAAAAGAGTCACTAAGGTTAGGCTGTGGAGCATGAAAGGACCCAAGGGAAAGGAGGTGGAAGGGTGAGTACAGCCACTGATTCAGGCCTCTGAATGCCAGGCTGAAGAACATGAGCTTTCTCCTACAGATTTTGGGGAGCCATAGAAGGATGTCTAGCAGGGGAAGGCCCAGGGCAAGCAGGGGATGGGGAGGGAGCAGGAGGGGAGGAGGACACCATGCCAAGGCAGAAGCAGTGAGCATGGAAAACAGAAGTAGTCATCCTGGTGAGCCCCACACCAGGGAGGTGTGTGTGTGTGTGTGGAGGGGGTGCCCACTGCTTAGTTTCTGCCCATTATTGCCGCAGCAGTTCATGGCCCAGCACAGCCAGAGTTTTTGACTTCTTAAGAGCAGTGAGAAATTGGAATTTATGAGCAAAAGGAGCCTTTTGGTATTTAGAGGTTGGTGACTCATTAAAAAAATGTTTAAACATGAATTGTCAGCCTAATTTATCTGTAGACAACATGTAGACTAATCTCCAAACTCTCAGTGTGGGGCCCAGCTCTAAACTCAATCCCTCCTGGGCCTGGAGTCTGGTCTTGCCTCTTCCCGAGGCTGCTGTGCCCCATAGCATCTGCCTGGTCTGGTTAGCTCCTGCCCATGGTTGCACCTTGTGTCCCCACCAGCCATAACATGTCGCATCCCCACACCAGAGTTGCCCTCGCCTCTGTCCCAGCTCCTCTGTGTCTCAGCCTCTCACAGCAAAACCCCTTTCGGTCCTTAGATAAAAGCCAAGAGGACAGAGGGCCACAAAGAATGTGGGGATAATGGAAAAAATGAGGGTGTGAGGCTTTGAGGAGGATGGGGTAGGCATAGTGCCATCCTCCAAGACTAGGGCACCAGAGGGGCAAGTTCTGCAGGGCACATGAAGCACTCAGGTTGGTCCCACTGAATTTTTGTTCTGAGATATTAGTCAAATGCCATAACATTCACCCTTTAGGAATATTCAGTTCAGTGCTTGTTTGTATAATCACAAAGTTGTGTCACCATCACCACTATCTAGTCTACAACGTGTCACTACTCCAGAAAGAGACTCTGTACCGCTTAGCAATAACTCCTCATTTTTTCTCTCTACAGCCTGCTTTGCCCGCTCTGGATATCTCACAGAAATAAAATTACATGTGGCCTTTTGTGTCTGGCTTCTTTCACTTAGCATAATATTTGTAAAGTCCTATGTTTGTTATAACATGTGTGAGTAGTTCCTTCCTTTATATGGCTGAATACTATTTCATTGTATAGATATGTCACATTTGATTTATCTGTTCATTGCTTGATAGTTATTTGGGTTGTTTCCACTTTTGCTTCTTATGTATAATGTTTCTGTGAACACTTGTGTACAAGTTTTTATAGGGAAGTATTTTTAGTTCTGTTGGGTATTTTGCTGAGTCA